GATGACGATCAGGGCGGCCTGCTATGCTAACGCCAGCGGCAGGGTCTGCAGCGTACACAAAGGGTTCTGAACTGACTCCATCGCACACATAGGACCACCTGTCGCACCTGCCCGCGAAAAAATAAAAGCAAAAGCAGCAGTCATGATATAATTGCGGTTGTGTACAGCGATACAGCAAGAGTCTGTGCGCGGCCTGGGGCATGCGCCTGGCATTAGTACAAGTCCCAGGCAAGGGCGTGCCGGACATTTTCGAGCTTCAGCGCTTCAGCTTCGGGCGGGATCCATCACGTCTATCCAACAGACATCCTCGTCGTGTTCTTCGTCCTCGGTCGTGTGGTGTGGTATTTAGCTTGGTCTGCGTCGCGCGTAGGCAGTTGCGCGCTGGCGGGCGGTGTGGGGGCAGGGCGGAGCGGGAGGGGTGCGGCAGTTTACTGCGCGGCGCGGTGGCGCGCCGCCTCGGCCTCGCGCTGCTCCTCTGCGTATATGACGTCCGGGTCGCGGTCGCGCACCTCGGGCAGGAGCAGCGTGCAGAACGCGCCCGCGACGCAGCACCCGAAGAAGACTGCAGCCAACACACGTCAGCGTAAGAGAAGAGGAGTAGAGAAGACTGGGCGACGCACTCCAGAGGACGTGCTGCGTGCCGATCTTCTTCGAGAGGCTGTTGAACGCGAGCGCGGAGATGATCGCGCCGGCTTTGCCGCACGCGGCGGACATGCCGTGTGCGGACGCGCGGAAGCGGGTCGGGAAGACCTCTGCGGGGTAGCACTGCGCGCGAGGCATCAGCATTGCGCGGAGGAGAAGGACACGGAAGAAAACATACGTAGGTGGTGGTATTCGCGCCGAAGTTGAAGAAGAACTGGAGGAAGGCGAAGCAGACGATAAACGGCGCGGTGCCCATCGTGTCGAACTTGCCCGCAAGGATCGCGAGGAAGAGCGCGGCGGCGAGGAAGCCCTGGATCTGGATCCACTTCCGCCCGAGCTTCTCGATGGTGAGGATCGTGGCGTAGTACCCGGGCACGAACCCGAGCGCGGTGACGATGAGGTTGCCGATGCCGATCTTGAAGAGGCGGTTCCAGGGCGTGCCGTCCGTGCCCGCGAACCCGATCTGCTGCAGCACGACGTTCTGGTTCAGGTTGATGCCGTAGAACCTGCGACGCGCAGCGTGAGCAGGGCGCGCGTGTACAGAGAGGGAGGACACGGGAGACGTACGCAATGTCCAGCAGGAACCAGCAGGAGCACGTCCCGAGGAGGATCTTGAGGTGGCGCCACTCCGAGAAGTACTGGAAAAACTCCTTGAAGTGGTCCTTCTTCGCAGCGGCGAGGTCCGCGACGCGCTTAACGCGCGCCGCCTCTTCTGCAGCGGCCACATTATCTTCGGTGTCGCTCGGCGGGGTGCGCGTGCCGTCAGAGCCGGTGGGTACGACCTTCTCCGACACGGCGGGATCTGCGTTGGCCTTCTTTTTGAGCTCTTTAATGGACTCTTCGTCCGGGACAGCGTTGCCCTTCCGCGACTCCGTGAAGCGCGTCGACTCAGGCAGCGTAAGCCGCTGGTATAGCGTGCCGAACGCGGGAATAAGCGAGAGCCCGACCAGGATACGCCAGACTGTGTGCGAGAACGTCAGCGGCCGTTATTCGGGCCGAGTCCGCGCCCTGAGCGCGTGGACGCACCTCCGTCGACCTTGCTCGTCTTGCCGTCGACCTCCATGACGTGCTTGTAGCACAGGAGCACGATGATGGTCGCGAGACTGCCGACGAACGAGCCCCAGCCCTGGTTCGCGAAGATGTACGCGAGGAGCGTGCCGCGCCGCCGGAGGTTGGCCCGGTCGGTCGCGACGGAGGCGGACATGGGGTAGTCGCCGCCAATGCCGATACCGAGGATGATACGCCATACACCGAGCCAGATGAGTGCGCCAGAAGGTGATAGTGCGCCTGTCCAGGGTAGTTTAGCTCGCGACCGCGTTGGATGCGCGGGAGTCTATGCGCACCGGTAGGGTCGCAGAGCGATCCGATAGTGGCGAAGATAATCAGCATGAGCTCCTTGCCGTCTGGAGGAACGGTTAGCCAGTTCTGGTGCAGACCGCTGAGGTGCTGGACGTACAGACTGCTTTTCGGCCGAAGTAATCCGCCGAGTAGCCTGCAAGAAAAACAGGCGTTACAACAGTGTTTTAGACATGGTTTGCGGTCTTGTCCGCTACCGCGAACGCGAAAATGCGGCGCGTTTGGTGGTCACACGACCATGAGCTGTAGGACGTACCGAAGGCAAACTGTCCGATCACACTGCCGATGTTTGCACCGGCCTTGACGAAACCTTCAAGGCCAGGGGGGAGCGATTCCCCGCCGTATAGCCGGTACTGCAGCATGGTCGCGACGGGCTGGAAAATCGGTCAGGATAAGCGGGGGATCGGAATGTGGCTGAAGACGTACGTTGATGATGAACAGGTCGTATGCTTCCGGGCTGTCAAAAACATTTTTTGGCAAGTGTAGGATACATATGCTCACCATCTAGAAAGAATCCGACCTGCATAGAGCGAAGGGGGAGAGATGCGGATTGGTCGTGTGATCACAAAAAGTGGACGGCGGACTCACCCCCGCGATACCGAGGAGTTTCACCTCGCGATACGAGAGCAGGTAAGGATGGCGAACATCTCCTTCGCGCTCGTAGTCCTCGAGGTTGGACTTGAATGTTGTGGGGCGATCCGAGTGAACGGGCGCAGGGGATTGCGAGGCGGCGATCGCCATTGGTGGAGGGAGCAAAGAGCGAAGCGTGGCGTGCCGAGCAGCGCGAGTCTATAAGTCTAGGGGGCGATGGGCGCTGGGAAGGAAAGACGCGGCGGGGCGCACGTTCGTCGAGGAGGAGACGAGCGACTCCACTGAGCGAAAGACAGCCGAAGACCGCGTCCGCTCCCGCCGGCGCCCCCCTCCATACATTTTCCCCTTCCCTTTCTTGGCACGCGGTCCTTCGCCTGACCCGGCCGCATAGCACCGCCACCACTCCAGCCTCTCACTCTCGCCTTCACTCGCCTCCCGCCTCGCGGCGACCGATGTTTTGTCTGCAGTCTAGGCCTCAGTGTGCATGCGATACCCCTCGGTGGGAAACCGGCCTACTACTATACATGTCAAAGATCAGCTCATACACTTAGAGTCGGCCTCTGAGTCACTGTTTCGTACCATGGCGTGCACAGACTCTGAAGGTGAGCGCTGGGTATAAGTATTAGTGATAATTAGTGGTTGTATGCGCGCATATAGTCGAATATTCTACCTGTGAAGCTATAAGAGCCATACATGTCATATATCAGCGTGGTTGGGCACTGTGGAGGTCGGAGCCTGGTGGCTGATATCTTAGCGCAGACAGCACAAAAGCACAAGGGCCGGGGGGGAGGGAGGTGGTGGTCCGGGAAGAAGAGACGTTGATGTTGCTTTTCAGGGCGAAGGGCTCAATAAAGGATTCGTTCCCGAAGAGGGCGAACGTGAAGGAATGGCACCGGCGTTGGACGTCTGGGGATCGATCGAGGAGTAGTCCGAGTTGAATCGAGTGTATCGAGCTCAGAGAGCGAGTGTAGCGGCGTCCGACGGGCGTCTATTATCATGCCTTCAGCGCAGCTTCGACGTGAAGTACGTCCTTGTTCTATCTAAAGTACTGACGTGTTGACTGTATATTTGTATAAGGCTTTGTAGTACGATGGTGGAGTGCGGCGAAATGTGACAGGTATATGCATAACATTTGTGGTGTGCCACGATCCGCGACTAGGACCTTTTCTGTCAGACTGATCCTCGCAGACCTCTGTAGACCTCTGCCTGCCGCCCATCTCGTACGAGCTCGTACGTCGGAGCTCCTACCGGCGTCTGCAGACCCCGTGGCACTCTACAGCGCCATACATCAAGCTTGCGCTGTTGCTGATGCAATTGTGCTCGCCTGCACTCACCTCAGTGACATTGCGAGGTCGTGCGGCGGGCTCCGAGACGCGTCATGCTGTTCGGTAAGGTGGGGCGCGGTGGGGTCGACGATAAGAGACGCGTACACAAGTCAAAACTGCACTCAAGCGACGCGAACACACGCTTTGCGAATCTGGCCAGGCGATTCCCTCTCTCGTCAGTGTAGGTTTGTGCAGCAAGGTTTGGCAGCCCGTCCTACGCCATAGCATCCGTTTTCGGCGCGCGTAGATCATGCGGCGCGCTCCGGACCCAGGTTCCGAGGATGGCGGGGATTTCAAGTACCGTCAGACACAGCTGCTCCGACTTTTCCGTGAGTTGGTTGATGTGCTTTTCGGAGACTGGTAGTGCGTGCTTACCATGAGGACACAGACAATGCTTCCGAACCACACCTATCATCTTGCTAGATGTCGATCAGGCGCAGACCTCCGAGATGCCAACTCGCGCAGCATGGGGAAGTTTGATGACAACGCTAGCGCACCAGAGCTCCTTCTATATGTCTAGATGGCATCATACGGTCCACTCCACCCGTCCTCGGCCGTGGATGCCGCTCTCGCATGTACTGGTGCGTAACCAGACACCTTGACGCGCTGACGGCATTTCGCAGCTGCGCCACACACGTTCATCGGTTGGGCAGGCCACTGGATATCGCACATATCAGGCCGACCATGCGTCGTCGATGACGCTGAAGTATACACTGTCCGCTTCCGGACGTTGCACGAAACGTTCGAAGTGGGTTTGGTTGTGTCGCATGTCCTGACCGTACGTTCAGTGGATCACGTCTCCCCGGTCCTCACTTATCTGCTGCACAGGTTATTAATAGAGGGTCGACGCTGTGCAGCGAGAACGCGAACGCGGTGTTATTCCTATCCCAGGGCAAGGCACAGGTACATACCAAACAATCGCGATCGCATTATGTCGCAAATATAGTGCCGGCACTTTCTCTCCGTCGAGGGAGCGTCCACAATCTGTGGCATGCTGCACAGGGCGAGTTTCGAAGAGGATGCACAAACTTACGCCGGTGTACACACCTGTCCGGTGGAGAGCTCCTACAAGAGGGCAAGGGTGAGGCTGATATGGCCGAGTCGTTAAGGCGAGTGATTTGAATTTGTGTCACTATCACTTGGGCATTGCCCGCGTAGGTTCAAATCCTGCTGTCAGCGTTCATTTTGCGGTGGGCGTGGGCAGCTGGTGACATGGTTATGTGAGCGCATACGCCGCTGGGACCGTGCGGTATACATGGAGATACGACTGTACTGTGTGCGAAGGCGGAAGACGCACGTAGCTTTACCGTTTACGAAGGGCGCGTACTTGGGAAGGCGATACCGGCGGTAGGTACGTACATATCTTGTAGCCGTGGCGTGTAGCTGACGCCTGGACTTCGAAATTTGCCGGTGCCACTGCTTCGCCGACGCAGTCGATTCTGTATTTTGCAAACGCATGTATCTCATCCGGGCGCTCTCACGTTGATAGCACTTGCCGTCGCGACCTTCTCATGAGTGTGTGTGCATAGCGGCGCGGGTTGCTGCTCGCCTGTGGTTGCGAGACGGGGCATGCACGAGCAGCCTCTGGGAACGCGGGGACAAGCACCTAAAAATTGCTGTTCGTTTCCAGGCAGACTGCGGATGGCAGAATGATGGTGTATTTGCAGGCCGCGGGCGCCGGAACGGAGACGCTCCAACGCCACGAGTGACGGGAGGCGGAGGTGCGCTGCAGATGCACGCGCGGTCGTCTGTCCTGCCGCGGGCTCTGTGCGGGGCTTTTGCGCGAGTGCAATTGCCAAGGCCACCACTCGCCGCGCGAGGCTGTCCGAGGATGCCCGAGCTGCACTGGCTCGAACCACGGGGGACGGGGGCGTCGGCGTCGGCCGCGGGGAGGCTGCCGAGAAAGGTGAGACCAGCCGGGGCCGGATCAGGGGCCGGGCGCACGGCTGCGAGCATTGCAGGCCGATTCGGACTCCGCGCCGGCGCTGTGGCGGGGGGCTGACGGGCTGGGGAGACGCTCAAAGGCTTGCCCAACGCCGTCGTCGTCGCCGCGCTGCGACCCCCTCCTCATCGCCCCCGCCGTCCCCTTCAACCCGCCCGCTCCTTTATATCTCTGCTTCTGCTGTTTTGTCCCGCCACTATCTGAGGGTGGTCGAACCATGCTCCGGTTGACCTCGGACCACTTCCCAGTCTGTGAGTGCTTGTCTCACCCGATCGTGCTTCACGTCCTCCCCACCTCCACTTTAATTGACGCATTTCTCTCCAGTTGTACCATTTGGGATCATTGGGTACGCGCGACGGCCTGCTCACCTTCTCCACCGCTTGTGCTGACCGTCCGACAGCTTCTACCGATACTTGTGGTACCTAATACGTATAGTTGCTTCGCTCACCTACCGCCCCGTCCCCCTTCCCGAGAACCCCACATACATCGCCGAGGAAGATGTCACGATCATCGTCCCCACCATCGATGCTGGTGAGGAGTTCAAGGAGGCCGCCCACAGCTGGCTCGTCGGCAAGCCCAAGGAGATTCTCATCATCACTGAGGAGAAAATGCTTGGCCCACTGCAAGACCTTGCCAACCAGGTCGACCCCGAGCGCATCCGCGTCCTGACCGTTCCCTTCGCCAACAAGCGGCTCCAGATGTCCCACGGCATCAAAAACACCACCACCGATATCATCGTCTTCGCCGACGACGACGCTATCTGGCCCCCCACCCTCCTCCCGTACACGCTCGCGTGCTTCGAGGACCAGCGGGTCGGTGGTGTTGGGACTTCGCAGCGCGTACAGCCTGTCGGCAACCGCATGACGGTCTGGGAGGTTCTCGCCGCGTTCCGTCTTTCGATCCGGAACATCGAGATTTCCTCGTCGACGCACATCGACGGCGGTCTTCCCTGTCTCTCCGGCCGGACTGCGGCCTACCGCACCGTCATCTTGAAGGACCCTGAGTTCTTGCACGGCTTCACTCACGACTACTGGCTTGGAAAGTACCAGCTCAACTCGGGCGACGACAAGTTCCTCACGCGCTGGATGGTCGCCCACGGCTGGAGCACCTATGTGCAATGCTGCAAGGAGGCCGAGCTGCTCAGTACGATGAAGCCCAACTGGCGATTCTTGAAACAGGTGCTTCGCTGGACGCGTAACACCTGGCGGTCGGACTTGCGCTCGCTATTCACGGAGCGGTACATCTGGACAGCGCACCCGTATGTGGCGTACACGATGGTAGGCGCCTGTCTGGTGATTTCGCAATAGCTTGGTCAGCGCTCATCGTCATGTTTCAGGTTGACAAGCTGTTCAACCCCTTCACACTGCTCGCGGGCCCGGTTTTCGTAGGGATCGTCGTATACAAATCGACCATTCCGGTCGAGAACGGCGGCTTCCACTTGCCCTGGTGGTGAGTAGCGCTGCTAGTGTCACCCGTGCTTACTCTAAGCGTCTTGCAGGAATGTCGTGGTCAGCTACTTCGTGTGGCTCTTCGCCACCCGGACGGCAAAGCTTCTGCCCCATCTCTGGAACCGGCCACAAGATGTCATCCACGTACCCGCCTTCATCCTGTTTGGCTACTACTTCTCGATCATGAAGATTTACGCACTACTGACGCTTCACGAGGTTTGTCTTTTCATCTACCTGCTCTGCCAGTCCTGATTACTGATCTTGCTACTAGACCGGTTGGGGAACCCGTGCCGGTATCGGTGATGCTGCGGCAGCGACGGCGGCGGCAGACGCGGCTTCAAGCGGTGCTGGCTACGCTGAGAAGCTCCCCGACACCCCGAGCTACCCACAACAACAACAGTACCCTCAGCAGTACACGCAACAACCCTACTCCCCACAGCAGCCACAGCAGTACTACCAGCAGCCCCCAGTGGAGATGCAGGGAGGATATGCGCGGTGATCGACGCAGCGCACACCCCAGTATGTACTACTCGCGACGCCCAATGACCATTCTCCAGGACTACATTATCCCTACCGCACATTGCCCACCTCGGCCCCCTCACTCCTGGTACCTGTCGTCCCGCAGCACATCGTCTACGTCCCCCATCTACGATACTCAGAATATACCCACCGTGTTTGCAGAACCCGGTGCATCGCTGCATGGAGATCTAGCCATCTGCCGCGCTCGCCTCGTACTCCTTACCTCCCATCCACCCCGCCACAATGACACGTCGTCTCTGCTGCTTGCACCGCGGCCGTCGCCGCGCCCTTGTCTTGCTACGCTCGCATCGGATAGTGTGCATGTAATTTGTACGTCTGCATCCCATCCTTCGGACACTTCCCGCTCCGGGTAGAGAACGGGATACCCCGCGGCCCCGCTCGCAGGGGCTGTCCTGGGCACTTGTGCCACCGGGCGTCGTCCGCAGCGCGGGCTCTTCGCACTCTTCTGTTCTGGCTCACGACAGCATGCACGGATGTTCATAGCACACACACTCCCCATATCTATTCTAGCGTCGGTCGCCGGTGCCGCCTCCCTTTTTAGTCTACACATGCTGTTATTTTTCACGTATATGTTCGGTACGAAAATGGACGTTTCTTTGGGCACCATCGCTGGCCGCAGGAATCAGCGCTACCAATGTTAGGACGCCGAGCAGGAATAGCGCGATGGCGTTCGAAGCGTTCGCGCTCGTCCGTGTGATGCGTGCACATGCTCTACGTTTGCTAACGATTCGACGGATTCTACTTCTCCCTTTGTACCGATACACGGATAGCGCGCTCTTCTCTCAATTGCGTAACCTAACCTGGCCTTGTTCTTTTTTCGCCGTCGTCTCCGCCACCAGCCGCTCACCACCACCGCCTCCCCCACTCCATCATCCATCTACCCAGCCTGGCCTCTACTCGCCGCACCACTTGCGCGCGCTCTGGAAGAGGCGGAACCAGGGGCCCATCCCCTTCCACGCGTCCGCGAACTCGGGCGGGTACCAGCTGTTGCTCTCGAGCGCAACGACGCGCTCCGGGTGCGGCATGAGCGCGAGCACGCGCCCGTCCGCGGTCTGCACGCCCGTCACGCCGTCCGGGCTCCCGTTCGGGTTCAGCGGGTACGCCTCCGTCGGCGCGCCCGCGCCGTCGACGTACCGCAGCGCGACGCCGCCCGCCGCCTCGAGCGCCGCGCGCTGCGCCGCCGTGCGGAACGCGGCGCGGCCCTCCCCGTGCGCGACCGCGACGGGCAGGCGCGCGCCCGCCATGTCGCGCAGGAACGGCGACGCGGCCGTCGCGCGCCCCGCGACGACCTCGACGACCGCGACGCGCGCCTCGAAGCGGCCGGAAGCGTTCGGCGCGAGCGCGGGCCACGCGGCGGCGGCGGGGCACGGCACGAGCGCGCGCAGCGCGCTGAGGAACTGGCAGCCGTTGCAGACGCCGAGCGCGAAGGTGTCCGGGCGCGCGAAGAACGCGGCGAAGGCGGCGCGCGCGGGCGCGTTGAGGAGCACGGAGTGCGCCCAGCCCTGGCCGGCGCCGAGGACGTCGCCGTAGGAGAAGCCGCCGCAGGCGGCGAGCCCGCGGAAGGAGGCGAGGTCGACGGCGCCGCGGAGGATGTCGGACATGTGCACGTCGACGGCGTCGAACCCGGCGGCGGTGAACGCCCAGCCCATCTCGACTTGCCCGTTCACGCCCTGCTCGCGCAGGATCGCGACCTTGGGGCGGCGGAATAGGCTCCGCGAGGGCTGGGGGGTGAAGGTGAGGTCGTAGTAGAGGCCCCTGAAGTCTGCGGACTTGATGAGCGCAAACTCTTCCTCGGCGCCCTTGGGGTCGTCGCGGAGAAGTTGCATGCGGTACGACGTCTCCGCCCAGGCAGTCTGGAGGTGTGCGCGCGTGCTGCTGTAGACTTCGGTCGAACCGACAGAGAAACGGATGCTTTCGTCGGGTTTCAAGTGGCCAAGCGCATGGATCGATGACCGGGGCAAGCCATGTTCGACGAAGAAATCAGTAACACGCGCGGCATCGCCCTCGCGGACCTGGATGACGGCCCCGAGCTCCTCGTTAAACAACGCCGAGACGTGGTCCGAGCTAGACGTGATAGGGCTCAGGTCGATTTGCAGACCAGTCCGACCAGCGAAGGCCATCTCCACCAGGGTTGTGAACAAACCGCCGTCCGAGCGATCGTGGTAGGCAAGAACCACACCGGGCAGCTCCCGGCGGATTACCTGAGAAGCGACGAAGAACGCCTTGACGTCTTGCGCATCCACGACGTC